GGGGGTAAACATTTAATATTTTGTAGGAATATTGGGCAGTGAGTTTAACTAAAAATAAAAAAGGGAGCATTTGCTGAGAGGCCCCCAGCTGGCACCCAGTGACCCCTGGCAGTCCCGGGGAGCCCTCAGGCTCTTACCACGTAGCGCAGCAGCTGAGCAGCCGTGTCCGTGTACTCGGCCAGGGAGCGCTTGCACTGCGGGAGGGAGACACAGCGTCAGGGCCCGACAGAGCACACCCCTCCCTGGGCAGGCGTCCCCAAGAGATGCTCCCGCCCAGGAGGAGAAGGGAGCCCATCCCTGGAAGTGTCCCAGAGCACTGTGGAGCAGTCTGGTCTGGTGGAAGGGGTCCCTGCCCGTGGCGGGGGGGTGGAGAGACATTGCCTTTAAGGCCCCTTCCCTGCTGGCTGCCTCACCCTCTGCGCCAGGTCGGGTGTCAGGGTCTCGCACACCCACTTGGCGTGGCCCACCAGCGCCCAGGTGAAGGCAGTGTTGGTCCCCAGCTGCTGCTGCACGGCTGTCACCAGCTGCAGGCAGTCCCCACACACTTCTTCAGTCTCCTGCAGGACAGCAAGGGCAGGGACACGTTGGTACCCCGAGAAATAAAACCCCAATTCCACCCCCCATCTCCCCAACCTGCATTTGCAGGGCTGGGATTTAGATACTGGCTGCAATTTGGGGCAGCGCTCTGGCATCTCCAATCTGGCATCTCTCAGTTCCCTCCTGCATCCTGAAATATTGCTGACACCACCAGCCAGAAGTCATTTCAGCTCCGCAGAAATTTTAGGGGCTTTCTCTAATTATTGTTAAGTAGGTGATGCTTTTAAGGGGATTCTCATCCCTGAGCAGCTTTAGCACAGATTGTCCAGAGAAGTTGTGGCTGCACCATCCCTGGGAGTGTCCAAGGCCAGCTTGGATGGGGCTTGGAGCAACCTGGACACGCTCCCTGTCCACGGCAGGGGGTTGGAATGAGATGATCCCTAAGGTCCCCTCCGACCCAAAAAATTCCAGGATTCCATGATTAGCACCGTTCTCGCCTGTGCCACGGTACCTGGGCCTCGCCGTGGGGCAGATCCTGGGGGTGGAGCAGGAGGGGCACGTTGGCCATGAAGGGGGCGATGAGGTCAGCAAAGTCCTGGCTGGGGCCTGGTGGTGGCTGCTGATACTTCAAGGTCCCCGTGGGTCTGTCCCGGGGCTGGCACAACTTGAAGGTCCCACACACCACCTTTGGGTCCGACTGGGGGAGCAGAGGGGTGGGGTGGGGGCTTGAGGCTGCATCCCCTCCATCACACCCACCCCCTGCCCCCGCCCAAGGCCGTTCCCCTCTCCACTTGGTCCTTCAGACGGTTTCTCCCAGGCTCCAGGAGCATCCTTTGCTCTGCAAGCCCCCAAGACACGCCGAACCGTGGGAAAACCCAACCCCAGGGGTCTTCCCCTGCCTCACCAGCACTTGCTTGCCCAGCTGGACGAGGACGAGGATGCCGGTGTCCACCATCCTCTTGCACTTGACAGACCAGTCCTGGAAGGGCAGGTACTGGCATCTCTTATCCAAGAAGAGCCTCAATTTTTCCTGGGGGACAGAGAGAGCGTTCAGGACCTCGGTGGTGTTGGAACAGCAGCCCCACTCCCCCTTCCTGCTCAGACCCACCTCAGTGCGGTTGTCCTGCAGGATCTTGCCCACCACGGAGACTGCCACCTGGCACAGGTGACAGGGGATCCCTTTCTGCTGAGAGAGGGGACACGTCAGGATGCTGTCACGGCACCCAGACCCTCCACTCACTCCCCAGATCCCAACCCTCCACCCCAAAAACTCCCCAGGTGAACGTCCCCGGGGCACCCTTTGGCTTTCGCCCTTTACTCTGCAGACACGCCGATGGATGCTGGGGTGGGCAGGCTGGGATTCCCCCGCCATCTCGGTGTTCTGGGGCGGGTGGGCCCCTCTCCCGCAGCCCCCCGCATTCCCTGCTCCCAGCACGGTTACCCCCAGCGCCCGGTCCCACGCCGTCAGCCGGCAGAGCTCCAGTGCCCCGCACTTGGCCGCGGTCGCCACGTCGCGACACCAGTCCTCCGGCCGCTCGCCACACTCGTGGAGGGGGCTGGCCCCGGCTGCGGGAGGGGAGAGGAGGCTGTCAGCCCTCAAGGCCCCCCAGGACACCGAACTAACCTCCCCGTGAGCACCGCAGGGAGCTAGGAGTGATGCGCCTCACCCTCCTGCTGTGATTCCACCCGGACTCCCAAAGTCGTGGGAGGGAGGGGTGTTTCATTTATAAATGAGTTTTTTAAGGTCTGTTTTGCCAGGCTGCCAGCTTTTCCGCTGGGATGGCACAGGGTTAGAAGCAAAGGGAATGGTGGGGCTCATCCTCACCCTCTGACACGCTGCGGAGGCGGCTGCTTATAAAAGCAGCAATAAATCTTGCAAAACGGGCAAACCGGGGGCGCCGGCGCTCAGCCCCGCACGGCAGCCGGATAAGTCACGCCACGGCTCCCGGCGACGATTGAGCAACCCCACTTTTGGTGGGGTTCTTTTGGTTTTATTTCCTCCCCACGACAGCATTTTCTCCTGGCTGTAAATCCCCGGCACGGCCCGCCCCAGCAGCTCGGTGGCGTGGCGCAAGAGCAGCGCTTTAATTGTCACCTTGGTGCGTGACAGGACTCATTTTTGATGGGGCGAGTGTTTGTTTCCACCGGGAGCTGTGCCCACCCAAGATGCGAATGGGGAGGAGGCGGCGAGAGGACACCAAGCCAAGCCCTTCGCCGCCTTGTTTTGGCCGGGAGCTGCTCCGGGAATTTGGGGGGCGAATGGGGATCAGCAGCCGAGCAAAGGGACGGACAGACAGACCCCGCTGCAGACCCTTTTTCCAGAGGCGTTTCTAAGCAAAGCCTAGCCCTCCCCGCCCCAAGCATTTGCATCCAGCTTTTGTTCCCCCAGCCCCGCCTGTGATTTTGCAGAGCGGGAATAAAGTCAAAGGCAGAAACCGCTCCTTCCACCCAAGCCTGCCCTTAGCAGGTTTCTCCCCAAAAGCTGGACTTTGGCAACGCCTCCAGCTCATCCTCGAGACTGCAGCGTGAGGTGCTCAGAACCACCCTGGAAATTCCTGGGGGTGTGGGGAGAGGGGTCCCAAGCCGCCCACCATTCCCGCCTGTCCCCAAAAGCTCTGGCACAGCTCGGCGGGTGCCGGGTGCTGCTCCAGCCCCGATTTCCCCATCGGGCTGACAGCAGCACCGGGGCAGGCGAGCCCCGGGGCAGGGCGAGTCCCCCCCGCTTTCCCAGGCTTCCCACACACCTTCCCAGCTGCGCGATGCCGCGCTCGCCGCATCAGCTGAGAGGGGTATATTTATGTTTTTCAACCCTGGCCCCAGCATCAGGGCAAACAGGAATGGCAAGTCAGCGGAGGCATTAAGGAGCAGCACCAGAACCAAGGGGACGGGAGACAACAACCCCACGGTTTGTTTTTTTCCGAGCTGGTCCCCCAGCATCTCTCACAGGCCGGTGATGGAGCCCGGACCCCGTGGTGGGGTCTGGAGGATCTAAAAGACACGGATGGTTTGGTTCTGCGCTTTCCTGGCTCGCAGAGATCCTCAGCTCAGCACTTACTCCTCACCCTGCTCAAGCTGAAAGTCAGGCAACAAGTGCCGGGCCAGAAGGTATTTAGGACTAATCGTAACACCCAACAAGAGCTGAGAGCAGGGGGAGCTTCCCCAGGTGGAAACCACTGCCACGGGGCAAGCAGCTGGGGCAGCTGGTGTCCCACGAGCTCTCCTGCACGTTTCAAAGCCGTGCTGGAGCCACCTCGTGCTGCCAGGCACGCAGGCAGCAGGCTTATTGAATGATGCCAAAAGGAGCAAGGCAGGGATGCTCCCGTGGCGCTCCGGTCCCAGGACAGCCACAGCTGCCCTATTCCTGTCTGCCAGGCCCGGGGGATGGGGTGGGCTTTGCTCAGGGGGGATCCGGCAGGGAGCTCCAGCTCTGGCAGGGCTGTGCTGGCATTCCACGGAGCCTCGCAGCGCCCCGGCCGAGCCGGCAGAGCCTGGCGAGCCGGTTGTGACGAAAACCCTGGGGGTGGCAGCGTGGGCCCCAGCGCCCCAATTCCCGGCCCGGCGCACGCCCCTGTTACAGCAAGAAGCAGAAATCCACTCTTCCCAGCTCCCAAAGCCTTCTGCGAGGCTTGCAGGGCCCCCGGTCCCGCAGTACCCCCGTGCAGTGCGGCCGGGGCAGGGCTCAGCCCAGGGCTGGATGTGCCCAGCACGGGTGAACTTTCCTGCTCTGCCTGTCGCCGGCTGGAACACCGGGACACAAAGTCCTCCACCACAAAAACCTGGGCACGTCACATCGGGGGAGCCCCATGGGGGAATTGGGGCACAAGGGGGGCTCTTCACTCTAAAACGTGGCAGGGGGTGCTTGCAGCAACAGGGCTCCATTTATTCCGGGGAAGATTTCCCCAGGAAGCAGCGATTTTCCCCTCAAGCAAGGACCAGAGGTTAGAAACAGGCCTTTCCCGGCTTGTTTCCTGGGGATGGGCAGGGGATGACTAAGGGAGGGCAGCAGAGGTGTTTGCCTGCAGGAGGATTCGTTCACAGGTACCCAAGTGAGAGGGCTCCTGAGGTGAGCAGAGCACATCACCCTTCCCTCACCCTTCCCGGAGCAGAGGCAAGCCGCAGCAGAGGCAAGTTCCCACCTCCTGCACCTCCTGTGAGGACCCTCAGGAAAAGGGCAGCTTCAGGGGGCAGCGTGGTCACTCTGGTGTGACAATCAGGTGGCTTCCCCCAGCTCACACAGCAGCAGCCAGGCCCCTGATCCCAAGGGCAGCAGAGAGAGCAGCCCCTCTCCCACACGGCTGCAGACACACTCCATCAGCTGGCTTCCCTCCTTCCCTGCCCCAGCACACCTCCAGCTGCACCTGAATCCCAGAGAAGGGAGGGAACAAACCCCTGTTGCCCTGAGGTCACCTTTAAGGGTCAAAGTTCCACCTCCAGATGGGTAACGCCGACAGCGGTGCCACCTTCCCCAGCTCTCCTCTGCCCAACTCCAGCACCAGAGGAAGCACACGATGGAGCTTAGACACCAAAGCTGGGATATGCTTTTGGGATTCAGCAGGGTTTTCTGGCCTGTCCACATCCTACCTACCCCCAGGCCTGGCCTTACCTTGGAAGGAGCCCAGGCACACAGAAATGATCAGCACCAAGCCACTCCATTTGCTCTCCATGCCGTTCCTAAGAGTCCTCAGTGGCTGGTTCCTCTCCTATGCTGCTCCCAGACTGAGGAATCTTGGATGGGCTGGGAGAAGCAGTGAGAATCCACACCTACGCAGGGCAATTACCACACCCCTCACTTTATGCCCTGATTATAAAATCATCACCAGGGAGGGAGGGACCAGAGGCAGGCAGGCATTCCCAGGGGGTCAGAAGCAGCCCAGAACCTGCTGCTCAGCGCTCACCTGGCTGCAGAGGGTGGGCACAGACAGGGAAAACTGTCCCTGAGCCAGGTGACAGCACCACCTTCCCTGCCTTTAAATGACAGTTTTATATTTTATTTGGAGCCAAGCAAGGCAGGAGGAGGCAGGGGAAGCCACATTAAACGCGAGTCAGCAGGGAAGGCCGGTATCAAGAAGTCCCTCTGGCCTGCGCAAGGCAGCGATTGCAACACGGGGCTGTTGCCTCACACCAGGCGTTGTGTTTGTCCAGGGAAGAGAGAGGCAGCAATCCCAGGCAAGCCTCTTCCACCTCCAACCCTGCTCAGCAGAACAAAGGCTTGATGGGACACGCAGCATAATGAGGAACCAGAGGAATCCAATCGGTCCCAGATTCCCGGTGACACCTCAGGATGTGCCCTCTCCTGGCCCTGCAGCCCAGGGGAACCTCGACAAGAAGCTTTGCCAGTGAGGAAAATGAAACACACAAACTTGTCGGTTTACAGAAGTTTTTATTGTTCATTAAGGAAGCTTTTGTGCAAAAAAACAAAAAAACAGAAAAAAAAAATAAAAGGAAAAAAAAAAAAACCCAAGACAATGTTCTTTAGAAAGCAACTGCACAGTGTCCCCCCCCAGCATGACTCAAGCAGGTCGGGTGCCACGGTCCACAGGAAGGGAGAAAACTAAAGGGACTCCCAGCAGCAGCACAGGACTTCCCCTGCTTCACCTTGCCCAGCAGGTCACCAGCATGAATCCTACTAAAAACCCCAGGGAAATAAAACCTTCCTGGACCTGCCAAGTTGTCAATGCAGCCCCACCTCCCCCCAAGAAAGATCCACAGCATCCAGTTTAAAACGACAAATGCCACGCTCCGTGCCGTGGTGTAACACAACCCTTCCCTCCAGGGCAGCGATGCCGAAGGGACAGAGCCCATCTCCTGTCTGCTCCATCTAACCCCAGCTGGGATACACCACCAGAACAAGCCTGCCAGGACAGAAACATGCAGGTATTTTATGTCTTTAGGGGAAATTTTCCTTTTTTTTTTTTCCCCCTCTCTTGTTTAAAGCCACGAGTGCTTCAGCATTCAGGAAACAGGGGAGAACAAACCTCTGTTGCCATCTGTCAGCACTGCCCAGGCTTTTAGCATGTACACAGATCAACTAAAAACCTGCAGTCCAGTGTTCTTCCTATGAAAAATACTTTACTTTGCTGCTACAGCATTGTTACTGGAGCTCCTGCACACCCCACAGGAACAGCAGGAGTTACCAGCATCTTTCTGAACAGGACTGGAATTTTCAAAGCTCTGCCTCTGCCCAGCTGCTCCTTCCCAAAAGTCTCCTCAGAGCTACTTCAGTGCCTCTGCTTTAGGGATTACCTTGATCTATAAAGTGCACACCCAATGCAAGGTCTGTTCCAGGCAATACAAGCAGGATTCTCACTCCCAAGGACCCTTCACATCAAGGGCCTGCCATGTTCCCAGGGTAGCAGCCTGCCTTGAAGGCTTTTTTTTTTGAGGGGGGGTGGATTTCAGTCCATTGAAGTGGAATTTCAGGGAGCTGAGAAAGGCAGGCTGTCAAGTGTGTCAGCAGAGCTTCAAATACCTACTTCAGTGCTCCTACCACCTGCCATCTCTGCCTGCTGCATTTCCCAGCAGAAATGGGAACTCTGGATAACCATTCATACCTCCAGTTACTCAGAAGGGCGTCAGTGAGAGTGGGTGGGCAGCAGTGGGAGGAGCCCCCAGGCCTCACAGCACCTCTCTCAAGCTTTAGGTGACTGAAATAGTCTGTGAGAGGAAAAGCAGATCAAGGAACAAACAGGTTTCTTCCACAAATCCCACCCTCAGTGCTGAGCTGCCTTTGACACATTCCCAGCTCCTGCTGACTTGATCCTCCCTCCATCTTCCAGTGACAGCTCACGCTACCTCCTCAGCACCCAGCTGGCTGCTTGTGGGAAGCTGCAAGACCAAGCAGAATTGAGCAACTAGGATAAGAGAGAGAGAGAAAAAAAAAAAAAGGGAGTCATTCCTCAGGTATGCCAACATGCTTTGGGAAAACTGACATCCCACTGGACTGGGCTTGGCAGCAGAAGAGCTGTGCCAAGACCCAGCAGTCCAAGGAAATCAGAAGGATGTGACTGAAGGGTGAGGGAGGGTTTTCCTTAGCTGTAACAACAGCATGAGCCACAAGCGTGGTCACTCAGATGCAAAAGGCTGATCACTCAAAACGCATCTCTTTGAGTACCAGTGACTTTGAAAGTTAGCTGGGCACACAAAGCCCCCTCCTCTGCATCTGCAGAGCTTTGAAAATTCCAGCCAAAAGGATTCCCAGAGTCAACATTATCCCTTAAGAGTTCCCATACACAGAAAAGAAAAATTCCAGCCAGATGTTAAAAATGCAAAGCATGTAAAATCTTCCCAATGCTGCCTACAGAAAGACATTTGAAAGTTTAGATGCTATCTTGCTTTTTTTTTTTAAATTAAAAGATAATTGTCTCATTTCACCATCTCTGTCATTCTTCCCAGCACATAAAAAAGCACTTCAGCCTACCAATTGAAAAAAAAAAAAAAAAAAAAAATGAAATCTACAACACACTGACTATTTTTAGGAGCATAATGGGTTAAACTGTACAATCAGAAGTATCTTTGTTAGGTCAACAACGAAAATCTGATCCTTCAACAGCAGCACTGCTACAGAAGAGTTACAACAAAGGAACTTGAAGGTCAAATTGTTAATGAGGCAGAGAGGAGGGACAGGTGAGATACAGCTCTCTGCCAACCTCGGCCCACATTTCCCAAGAGCCATGGCAAACTTTCAGAACTGGAAATTCTTCTTCTAGTTCCACACATGACGTTTGCAGTGATCAACAGCCTAAAGGGGAAGAAATAGCTGATATTAGTGGAAAAAAGCCAGTTTGCAAACAAGCAGTTCAACACCTTATCCCGAGCCAAGATCTTGGGAGCAAATCTGTTTTTCTTAAAGTAAGCGATTTCAAAGAGGACTAGAATAAATAACATCCTGAGCCCCATCAGCCAGGAGCTTTAGGAAAGAAGGCTGATGACCCTTAGCCATTAAGGCCTGGCAGAAAAAGCAATACTGGAAGCCAATTTTTAGAGCCAGCTGAGAGATTGTAACACAGTCTGCCGGCTGCAGGAACACTGACTAAATATAAAGCTGACACTGTACCTTACTATAGATTCTGAAATACTAGCAGACAGGTGTGGGACACAAAAAGGAGGGGAAAGTCAGCTTTGAGAAAGCTAAGAGCTATGAACCACCCTCTAATCAAACTAAATGTGTTTTTTTTTTCAACTGGAATTCATCCACTTCAATGTGCAGCAGAAGCCAAGAACAGCTCAAAAGGAGCTGTCAAAGATCAACAGGAAACTGGAGGCAGAATGCTGCTCTACGTACGTTGCACTGAGCAGCAGTGTCCATGTTCTTACACCAGTAGCCAGGACCCCAGACACAGGCATCATTCCCCAGGAGAGGCTCTTTGGCTGACTCACAGACTCCGAGTTTCTGGGAAAAGAGCAGCAGAACAGTCAGCACAGCTTTCAGGAGATCTCAAGTCCAGCCTTATGTCTGAGTGAGTGTGGAAGCTGCAGCCCCTCTCACCAAGGTCACAGCTGCAGCTGAACCAGCAGCCCTGTAACCTGAGCCAGGGGAGAGTTAAGTTACTGGAACTCCTTCGTATCAAGTTTTGAAAAACACATCTTCTAGAGAGAGAGACCTTTCTCAAGAAATGTCACTTTTCTTCCCAGCACATTCACCAGGGCACATCACACCCTGCCACTGAGCCTCAGCAGCGGATGAACCACAGGCAGCTCTCCCCTTCTGCCCTTCCTTGTGCTGGGCTGGCAGTCAGACAGCTGTCCATTCAGGAAGCCCCAGGCCTTGCACAAGAGGCTTGCTCCAAGCATTCAGCACGCTGATTTTGATTCCAGCAGAGTTTCTGCATGCTGGGCACTGAAAGGCACCCAGGACAGTAGGCAGGACTGCATCAGAGCCCGTGCTCAATAAAACCAAACGCAATACTCACAGTACAAACAAAAGTGGGATCCATCACCTCTGCCAAGAGTTGCACAACCACGGGTTCATACTGTTCCACAAACTGCACACACTGTAACAAAACACAGGGTGAGAGACTCTCCTGCTAGAGCCTCTGAAAGCAGAGCAATGTGTGGTACCCCAAACACCCCAACAACACAAGGATAAAGCAGAGGCTTGGGCTCTGCACACGGCAAAGGAATCAGGCACTAATCACACAATTGCATCACTGTTCCTGCTAGCTCACATCTGCCTGCAGCTGTCTGTAGACACTCTATGAGGAGATAAGGGGTCACAAGGAGAAGAACCAAACAGGGCAGGCTTTGGGAAAAGAACCAAGCAGAAGAAGCTTTGACTGCTTTGAAAGCTTCGTCTCTGATCGTGGAGATCACGCCTGCCTCAAGAGGAAAGCACACAGAACCAGCTGGAGACAAACATCCTGAGCAGGACAGCAGTAAGGACTCCTAAGCACTTGTGCTCAAGTTATTCCCTCAGACAAGGCAGCAGGTAAGGCTGCCAGAACAACCTCTCTCCCTCTAGTGGAGAGGCCGGCTCCAGAGCTGAGGAAGATGCTGCTGCTCCCAGCAGGGACAAACAGCACCAATTAATAAACCAACCACAGCTATTAAACAGCCTCACAGCAGGAAGAGCTGTTCCACAGCTGCTTTAAGCCTCTGTATTCTAGCCCAAATAAACTTACAAGCAGCTGCCACTTGCTGATGCTCAGCAGCCACCTAATAAGATTTTCAGGTAAATCTTGATATCAGTGGTCCAACAGGTGTCCCACTGGAATTACACCAGCCTACTTCAATTACTTCATTAATCCCCTGAAGAGGATAAGTGTTGAGGGGAAAAAAAAATAAAAGTAAAACCTTCAACTGTTCCCACCCACTGTTCTCAGAGGATTTCCAGGCAAACCTTTCCTGACTGCAAATTAGTACAACAATCCAGCCAGTCAATTCAGGCCCTATAAAGCAGACATCTATTCAGGGGACTGCCAACCCCCAAGGATGGGAACTGAGCAAACCTAATCCCTCTGCACCCCAAACTCCTCCCAGCCTTTAGCAGAGAAGGCTGTTACAAAAACCAACAGGAGAAGCTGCTGCCTGGTTTTCCCAGATACTCTGCAAGATGTCCCTGCCTAAGGCAGGGGGGTTGGAATCAGACAGTCTTTAAGGTTCCTTCCAACCCAAACTATTCCAGGATTCTGTGTTTCATCCTTCTGGTCATCTCCACCTGCCTTGCCCTGACTGGGAGGCAGGCTGCCACACAGCAAGGTCTGCAAGGTCATTCAGCTACCTCAGATCAAGCTTTTCCCCCCTTTTTCTTTTTTTTGCTCTACTGCACAGGAGAAGTTGCTATGCTTTGGTGCTAATCAACAAAGGGAAAAACCTGTGCAGGATCAGGTTGCTGGACACAAGCCAGTCCCAGCTGCACCTGAGGACAGTTTGTCTCCAGCCAGAGACAAGGCATTTGGCCAAACACAGACACCTCTGTTAGGAGTACCTGGACATTTATAGCAGAAGCAGAGACACTTGAGAGACGGACCTAAAATTAGTATATAGACAGAATATCAGGTGAAACACTCAGAAAATGATGTTAAACATAACTGTTGCTGTTAGGACCTATGTAAACCCTGCAAATCAACAGGCACAGTTCCCAACCACCAAGACCACAGCTTTTCAGTCTGCCTCCTGCACAAACACCTTACCTGCTCACTGACAGACTCTGGCAGGAAGTGACAGACTTTTTCCAGTAGAGCTTCAATTTCAGCTGTCGTGGCATTCTTCTCTAGCTCTTTGTCTGCATAAGCCACCACCATCTTGCAGATATCACAGAAGCCACCTGCAGGTTTCACTACAACTGAGAAGGAAATTAAGAAACAAACCAAACATCAGTGCTTGGGTGGTTCCCCCAAAAAAGAAAAGAGGGAGCATCAGCAGCATCCTCAAAAAGAGATCTCCTAGGTGAACCAGCTCATTTTGAGCACCACAGACCCCTCATCACCCACCTGGCAGCTGGGGAAGCTTGCTGGCTGCACAGCATTTCAGCATGGCACACACAGCTTCGGGATTTGTTGCCTCCAAGAGCATGTCAATCACAGCCTGGCCATAGACCTCGATGAAGTCCTTGCACTGGTCCTTGACGCTTCCCGGGAACAGGCGGCAGACCACCTCCATCTCATGCACAATCTCCTCCTGAAGCACAGGGGAGGAGGAGTAAATGAGGGAGAGAAATTTGACTCTGTTCATAAGCACACATTTTCTGTCCCACCCTGGGCAGAAATTTTGCTGGAATTGTGAAAACAGGCAATAAAATTGACTTTCCTCTCCCCTTCAGTCCAGGAAGTGGAACAATGCCCACCACTCACACACCTCTGTCTTGTTGCTCTCCAAGAGGCCGGTCACTTCTTTCACCATGGTCTCACAGATTTCACACAAGGAAAAAGTCTTCTCTTGAACTGAGGCCTTCTGAGTAGACAGAAGAAATCCACAATAAATCAGCACTGCACCACATCTGACAGGGACAACTCTCAACAGCATTTACTTAGCTGCTCAGTTTGGGCTGTATTCAAAAGGCCACACAGAACCCAAAACCAGCTTCAAATGTCTCAATAAAAAGCCTGTCTGAATGAACAGGCACTTTGTATGGCTAATTTGAAGACTACAATACCCAGGCTGTACAAGGAGTTGAATTTTGTAGACACAAAGAAAGAAGCATTCCCCCAGAGACAGAAGTCAAGGGAAATACATAGCGTTTTTTAAAATCCATTAACTGGGGACATTTCCTAGAATTGAGAGCACCCTGCTGTCTGCAAAAATAACCTTTAGAGAATCCAAGGTGCTTCTTCAAACTCAGAGCTTCAGCATTCTGACTCTGATCCCTCATTTGCACATGCAGAGTGCTGCCCCATTTTTAAAAGGGATAAAAGTACTACTCCAAACAAAGAGCAAAACTCGGACTGAGAGTTTACATTCAAGGTGTCATTCAAAACTGCTGGAAATAGAGTTCCCCTTTCAGTTCTGAGGCATTACCTTGTAGCTCTGCTTCAGTGTAGGCTCCGCTGTTCAAACAAATCAACCAGCTTTCCTACTTCACAAATCAGCATCAGAAACAAGAAAAGGCCAGGAATTTACATGCAGGAAGACTTGGATTATTCTGGGCATGAAAGCTCATCATTTTCACCTAGCTTGCTCCACACTAAAGCAAAAAGGAAAGCAAAGTACAAAAAGCCCATCTTACCTCCACAATTTCCATTTTCACCTCATGAACCACCTGAGCTGGCACCAGAGGCTGAAGGGGAACAGACTTCACAGAAGCACAGAAGCCAACCATGGCACAAATGTCCTTTGGTTGCTGGAAAGAGATGTACAAGCAATTTTTTAGAATTCTAGAAGTCTCTGTCCTTTCTACAGAGCCTGTGAGCAGGCACACAGAGCAAAATTTTAAAAGCCTCCAAGACAACTTAAAAGTTTCATGACTACTTCTACTTCAAGTATTGCCAAAGCATTTGGTAAGGTTATAGGCAGGACAGCTACTGGATGGAATTTAGCAGATCCTGTTAAAGAGGAAGAGGTTGAAAACCCCATTTAAAAAAACCATGTCCCATGAGCCCTTCAAAAGGAGTTGACTTAAGAGCTACCAACACCAAAACAAGCCACCAGCAGCATCACGTCAGAGCTGCATCCACAAAGCTGCTCCCCAGATTTAAGTAATCAAGTAATCCAACAGGAGAGGTCAATTATCCTGACTTCAGAGTTCACCCAAAAGCTGAAAGAAATGCCTAGAAGAAAGAACCTCTTTCCTCATCCACAAACTACCTTCTTTAAAGCTGCCAGAAACATCACATTCTGCAAACAGAAACAGTTTCTCGCATTACTGAACACAGCCTACAAGAAACAAAAGTTGTGCTTGTTAAAACCCAAGCCTAGCCACTTGTACTGCAACAATTGAACTTGCAGTGTTCTCACAGTAAGAGAAAACAGCAAACAGAAACCAAGTCTGTAAAAAGGATTTTTTTCTCGAAGAAATACACTCTTTATGCGTTTCTTTTTTTGAAACATACTTTACTAAATGCACAAAGAATGCCAGACACGAGGCAAACTGCTCAAAGGAGGATACCCAAGGAGAGAAAGGCTGTACAGAGTGAGACACAAAGCTTGCATTTTCCCACCTAAAGTCTACTTCAGCTAGAAAAAGACACCCTTGGTCCTACAGGTAAATTAGAAGATCACATCTCACCCTGTTACAAGCTTCCTACAGCAGATGCTTGTCCCAGAGTTAATATTAATACATCATGCCACAATCTCATGCACAGGCAAAAGCAGCACCTCAGAGACACTGTGCTGCTTCAGACTACTCCAGGCAGCCCCTTTAAGTCAAGCCCTTGAGTTCATGCATTGTAAGAAGCAGGTCCAGGTATTAATGTTACAGCAACACCCACATACACACATGTGTTCCCTCACAGAGAGATGACAGACACAAGGTCCCATGGGACAGCTTAAAAGCCCAAATTGCTCTGGGAAGCCTTCATCTTTTCAGTTCACATACTCCAAACATCTACACCATTGTCCTAGATTTAAAGGTTAACCAAGGGAAGACCTGGGGACAGCGTTGCTCAAGCCCTTTTGAGCCCAGACTTTAAACCAGCAGCTGGCAGGAGCCATTGGCATGCTTTTTCCACATCTATCCTTCTTCTCTAAGAGGGAGGATATTTTCTGTTCTACTGGCCAAAGCACAGTCAGGTTGAAATCTTAGTAGCACCAAGTGGTATCTGGAGCTGGAGGTAGGACTGATGCACTGGAGGAAGCCTGTAGTCTTTCTCTGTTTTAAATCACATAAATATCCCTTGTATCTGTCAGCACTGAGTACAATCACACCGAGTGTACAGCTAAGAGAGCAAGAAGTGAACTACAAGCCCTTTAAAAGCAAAGGGTGAACTACAAGCAGGCTATCACCACAGGCACGTTGCTCACCTACCTGATCCTTCTGTTGACAGGGGAGATTGGAGACAGAGGAAGAAAGGAGAAATTGAAGATAACAGTTACGAGAAAAATAAACCACATCAAGCCCTTGGAATTGCGTATGTTCTTTCCACAGAGATAATGGAATACGACACAGTCCCCACCCCAAAGATCCCCAGCTACAGCAACTCACATTTAATTGCACAGTGCTAACCAGCATTATTCACTGGCAGTTATTAAGGCATCCTGGGCAAGACTACCTCCAGAGAGTCTGGACAACACTCAGATGCACACAAGGTGTAGTCATATTCCAATTTCAGGTATGAACAACACACTGCATTGCAATGCTTAAAACGACACACTAAGCGCTGTTGGAACAAACACTGACTTCCCCCTACCCCCCCAAAAATGTTTAAGAAAGAGGATGAGCTTCTAAGTAGCCTTTAGCAACTGGAAAACTAAAAAGGCCACTGTGTTGCCAGACTCGGGTTCAAGTCAGCCACATATTCACCTGCAATTTGTTATGTCACCTGTGGCATGTACAGACTGCACTGTCTAAAGAAAGGCTTAGCCATTTTTTTAAAGGCACTCAGCTCTCTGGATAAAGAGATGCTATGTATGAGGTAAATCTTTGTTGCTGCAGAAGGTACCACTCGCTTTCCACAGCTCCTGCCAGGAGCCCAGAGAGCAGGAACCTTGAGACAGCAATTCCAGAAGGATGTGTAGCCTTGCTTCCAGAAAACACCTTATCTCTCACTCATTAACTGATTTTGCAATACTGTGAGAAAGCCAATTGTAATACCCTTAACACATTTTGGAAAAGGGGGGGAAGTGGTGTAAGCCCAGGACTGAGATAAAAGAATACAGAGAAACATGTGTAACCTATCCTCCTATTTCAAAGGATTAGAGTGCCTTTTGCACTGCAGAAGTGGTTATAAAATGGAAGGAAACATGCTAAAGAAAGCATCCTGAAACTGAAATTACTACCCAATCAAACACCAAGTTCAAAGCATTAACACCAAGACTTACAGAGCAAGGGCTCTCCCCAAAGTTTTACTGCAGTACATGTTTCCTGTTTCCAAAGAACTTAGCTACACAAGCCAGAAAAATGAACTGAGAGCAAATACTACGCTCTGCTGATCTTACCATGTGCATCATCATCTGGATGGCCAAGTCAGAATACTCAGAGATGTAGGTCTTGCACTGCAGAGAGTGGGAAAAGAAAGTCTCGTGACTGTCAAACCACTTGCTGTAGAGCCCATCTGGAATTCTCTAATACATCTCAAGGTATTAATTTAGCTGCTCTACTGCGTAACAACAGGTCTTTCAGAGCTTGGCCCAATTACAAGACAGTATTTCAGGTTACAGAACTGTTGCACAGATAACTGCTTAACCCTTTTCTCTTCCTCTCAGGGCAAAAAGCCCACCTCCCACTGATACAACCACACTACCCACCGAGATCATTTTTGTGAAAAAGGCATTTCAGGGCTAGAAGCAGTCTGGAGTCTTTCTCCTCCTCCCCAGTCCCACACCAACTCTCCTGACCAAGAAGTTTACAATTTCAGTGTTGTTATTGTTACACTGTGTTAACATGTGCAACAGTCTCCTTTGTGATATTAAAAAAGAGAACATGATCAGGAGATTAAGGCACTGAGCAAACTATTTTATGTTTGCTTCCAGGAACAAACTTCTTCAATAAAGAAGGACAGTTTACCATATCGGACATCCCAGGTCCCAAACGGTCACATTCCTCCTTGGCATGAGCAACCAAAGACTTGACAAAAGAGGAGTTTGTCTTCACAGCTTCCTGAACATCAGTGACCAGCTGAATGCAATCTTGGCACACATCCCCACTCGCCTGGACAAAGAGTGAAAGGACACTGAAGTGGACACAACTTCACATGACATGCTTTACAAAAGCTCCTGTTACTACTGAGTTCTACAGGCTGGTCTGAGCCATGCACAAACCTCAATAAATACTCTGGAGAATACTTTGAAGCCTGAACTAGAAGGGAGATGAGCTACTGCTGGTGTGTGCACCAGCCACTAGATGGAGATTAGGTATCTACTTGGCTCCAAAACCGAGATAATAGTTAAGATAGCCAATCTTCAAATCTCTTGGTTTTGTTACAGACCACGATGGGGAGGTTTCTAAATCTGGCATAGATCTTACCTGCTCCACCCACAGCAGCTTGTTCTCAACCCACTCACCCTGGGGTTTGCTGAAAACACTCAGCCTCTGCACCAGAGTTCATTGCCTCATCTATTCCCCCTTGTCAATGATTTGTTCTTTTTCAATCTGTCACCCCTACATCCAGAGACAAATGCATCCCCTGAGGGGCACAGCTAGCAGGTTATACTGGAAGAGTGGTTCTTCCTTTGAACCCTGCTGACAAGCTTTCTCTCAGAAGAAATCCTTTCCAGCAAGACCTGCTTGATTGCCACAGTGCTGGATGGCAAAAGCATGGCACAAGACTTGCATTTACAGACTGTAGGATTTAATCCAAGATTAAATGCTGCAACAGCCCTGGCACCCTAACCTTAGGCTTCTGCTTGGGCTTGTCCTGAGGATAAAGGAGAAGAGGCACGTTAGCCATGAACGGGGATGCCAGCTCGGAGAAATCCAGCTCTGGGATCTTGTTGGTCTGGAGCTGCTTCTGGAGCTTCATTGCTGCAAGGTGCTTCTGAAGGGACTGGCACAGAGCGAGGGCACTGCACACAACCTCAGGTTTATCCTGGGGGAGACAAGATACACACATAAAACTCCAAACTGATGAACTTTTGAAGTTCAGGGTAGACAGTCATTCAGCTGTAACACAGTAAGACAGGGAAAATGTTTCATAGCAAGGAAGGAGTCTTCAAACTAATAGTACCGGTGATCCACGCAGGATCGAAGGATCATATGCACAACCTCAAGCAGAAGAGAAATTTGGGCATCAACAGGAACACAATTTTTAATGCCAACAGCTGGAAATCGTTATCTACTTACCAGCTCTTCCTTGATCATATCCATGATAACTGGTAGGTAGGAGTCCACAATTTCTTTGCACTCGGAGACGAGGCCTGGGTCGGGAAGAAACTCGCACGTCTTTTCCAAGTAAGAGCGGATCTCATCCTATGAAAGATGAGGTGAGCAGAGATAGATTATCTCCCTCTCAAATACTCCTTCCATTCCCAAAATGCACAATGCAAAGCCTGAAACAAGCTCCTCAGACTCAGGCAGGTCCAGGCAGCAATAAGCAAAACTAGAATGAGTTTCTACACTACAGATACATTTTCCCCAGGTCTGGACCTTCTTTGAGACCCTGCGAGTGCACAAACACGTCACACTGCTCGTGTGGCCTGCACAGTCCAGCCTTACCAGAACAGAACTTACAATTAAGAGGAGAAAGTGAACTTCTGGGCTCATGGGATAATGACTCATTTACACAAAGTACTCTCAGGTTGACAAAAGAAAAAGGGAAGCAGCGCCCACAAACCAAAACAAAGGTCACTCAGTGTAACCGCCCACTCCTAGAGACAGCAGTACCCCAGCTCTTAATATCAATGTCCCCACTGGCACAAGAACGACTTTATTAAGCATCTACAGTCAGTCAGGGATGTGTTGAGGCATGGGAAGCTAAAGAATTTGTTAATTTCTGAACCAGCAGTCTGTTTAAAAACCTGTTTCCATGTACTCTAGTCCCTTTCAACATCTGCTGCACTTAGGTTAGGAAAACAACACAGAGGACTCTTTTGCCCCCTCCCCACCAGATCTTGAAACCCAACAGTGTTTTGGGGTGAGGAGAAAAGGAGCTCTGCTTACCTCAGTGCCATTATCCTTTAAAACTTTGCCAGCAACAGTCACAAGCTCCTTACACAAGTCACAGGGAATACTGCTCTGGAGAGAGGAGCAGAGAGTTACTTGGAGAACGAATTAAGTGTCTGAAAGAGCAGAGCGTGAACAACAACACAGAGAACAAACATTACATCTGGAATTAAGGAAGAAACACTGGTTGAGGCCAGGCTGGGAAGAGGTATTTCTAAACAAAGAGTGAGGCTATTTCAAGCATGTCCAGCTACAGTTTCATCAGTAAACCAATGCTCTGTGAAGAAGCTGGCATGCTATCACTTGCTCATTTCACCTCCTCCCAGTCCCTTGAAATACAAAGCTGACTGCCCCAAGACACCTTCTCCTTTTACCTTTTCCTTCAGAGAGTTCATACTTGCTAGAAATCTTACAACATTTCAGGCTGCTTTAGCCACTGTAGCTGTGCTCTGACATTCCTCCCTTCCCCTAATTTTCCTTAAATTGAAGTATCTCTGCACAGACAAAGCCAATGTGGACTGAATGCATCTGTAAGTAAAACACCTTTTTCTCCCCTAGAAAACTGTGAAGCAATACTCAAACTGCAGCTACATCTAGTAAAGCAGCCCTCACACTCAGTGCAACCTGAAAAGCTGCATTAAATGTAACATTTGTACTATTACTTACTGTCATGCCTTCCCTAATTTAGCACATGCTGCATCTTTTTGGGAGTTTAAACCTTTGAGAAAGAACCCAAAGGAACACACAGCCTTGTCGTAACAATTGCTCAGGTTCAGAAAAGACTCCCACGAATTAGGAGTCAGTAATAATACAGAGGAACAAGTGAAATCCACTAGCTCCATTCCATACATTGCTGGGTGATTGTGCAACAGGTCATGGGAGAAGTCAGCAGACGAGTTGTGCAAGGCAGAGCAGTGAGAGAAAAGCAAACTTTATCCAGCGCCCAAATTAAGGCAAAGCAACCTCCGCAGAGTCGGATGCAGCACTCAACTCCAATCAGAGACTTCAGAAATCTTCCTCAGCATGTGGAAAGCAGCCACCTGAGCCCCAGGTGGGCCTGGCAGCTCACTTACCACAGCAGGCTTGTTCCAGACGTTCTGCTGGCAGTGTTTCACTGCCCCGCACTGCGAGGCCGTGCGGATGCTCTGACACCACACCTCCGGCCCCTTCACGCACTCCTTCTGCCACAGGACAGGGCTTGCCACCGCTGCAAGAGGGAGCAAACAGAATCAGCCTTGCCAGCCGCAAAGCAAGCAGGTTAACACCCTACAGAATAACCCTCCTGTTTATTAATGTTTTTCACATTTCAACCCAGAAATTTTTGGCCTGTCCCAAACACAGGTTGCAGAATCAAATTTAAAAAAAAGAACAAACAAAACCCTGGAAAAAGCTGTAAAGGTTGAACACTCCCCAAGTCTGAGCACCTCAGCAGTCCGTTCCCATTCCATCTACCTTTTGTAACGAAAAAATTAAAACTCCCAAAATATAAAACCTCACTTTGCTTAGCACACAAGAACTACTGTTTGAAAGAGAAAAAACTGCTCATTACATTTATCTGCCCTACAGAGAGCTGATTCCCAAAGCTACGACCTCCCTGTTCTCCTGCCCTACTGGCCCTTCAGCTCTGAACCAGCTTGTAATTGCTGTCTGCATTCCTCCTCCCACATGAAGCATGCTGTTCTGACACAAAAAGTGAGAGAGTGAGGAAAGAAACTAGATTAGAAGCCACAAGAATGTACACACTGCATGGAAGACTTCAGAGCAGGTACAGACCAAAACACTGACCATAAACAGAAAGCTTTAAGAATGTTCTTAAGGAATGTTCTATCACACTTTTTAAACTCACTAAATCTATTTAGACTTCCTTTTTCTCTCTTGGTCAGGTCTTCCAACTGTGTACAGAAACATCTAAGGTGGGGAAAAAAAATGTACCAGTCCTTTTTTGGACATTACCTCCCATCCCATGTGGGACTGCCATGCAACCTATGAAGCTTTCAAGTAAGATACAGAATATTTTTTCTTAACAGTCCTGGTAAAGAAATGTTAAGTATCTTCACTATGAAGTAATCAGTAGGACAAGTGAATCAAATGCATGTTTTTGCTGACTTTCCAAGCTTTTTTTTTTTTTAATTGTGCTGCCTGGATCTGACACCAAACTTCTCTCAGTTCCTAAAAACATCCTATCTGTCAATAAGCTGTTTCACAATGCTCCACACTGCACTAACCAATCAAGAAACAAATCCTAAAATCCTGCAGCAGGCAGGCTCCAAAGAAATCCACCACAGTCCAAGTCTACAGGGCACTGCTGCCAAAGTTTACAAAAATTTAAAAAAACTAAACATAAAGCCAACCTGTTCAAACCTATTAGCTGTACAAGTGTGACATTTACACCAAATGCTGTTTGCACATCACAAAACCCTGCAAAATTACACTGTCAGCCACGAGGCAGGAGTTCAGCTGTTCCATTTCTATGAAGATTCTAGTGAGGTTACAACAGACAATCACTTTCCCATTTCTCAAGCCCTGTTCTAGGCAATTAGAGGATCGATTTAAAGCTGAATTACCAGCACATCTACAAGGTACATGGCCAGCACTCATCAAACAGCCACATAAGCACTGCTTTATGGGTGGCATTGTGCAGCCTTCTCAGCTGTTGATTTATAAAGCCTGTTTACACTGGATTTCAGAGGAATGACCCACTTATTTTTAGAAAAACGTGCTTTGCATGCCTGATTTTTTTTTACACGAGAGCTTGAAGCTTGTCACCCTCTCTCCCAGTAAAGAAAAAAATCATATTCATTGCATATTGTTACTGAGCAGGACAGCACACTGGTAGTGCCTGGCAGACTGCAGGAGCAAGACTTCAAAGCTTCTAATAATGTATGGTTAGCAAAATATTTACAGCCTATTCTAAACTCCAGCATTATTGATCTGGAAGCCCTAAGAATAGTTAATTTTCAGAGTCAGACTGGCCAGCCAAAGAGCTGGAAGCTCTGGCAGCATGACAATAAACAAGAATACACTTGGTTGAGGGAAAGTTATTCTTCTCTTTCAGATACTGGCATTGAACAGGGGTAGGAAGGCTCTGGAAGGAAGAGTCAAGCTCTGAATGAAGTCAGTCCAGACCTGGACTTTAAACAGTGGAATCAAGGATTCCCAGCTAATTACAAGTACAGCTTTTAACCTATGCCTTTATCAAAAGACAATTACTCCTCCTACACTGAAACATACTGTAAACTACAAAACTGAACTACACAACTCCAATAATAGTTATTCCAAGCAGTCTCTCAAACTCTTGATTTAGGAGAGTGTTTTAAAGCCAAATGGAAGCATTCATGCTGTAACTTGCATTGGTTTGATCAGGCTCTTAGTGAGCTTTCAGTTTTTTTTGATGTTTTTACTTCTAAGATCCTGTCACTGTATGACTTTCCAGATCTGTAGCAGCTTCAGCACAACATCTTGTTCCCTCTTCCTCACAACCTTAGCAATAGATCGTGACTATGTGTATGACAAAAATCCTGTGCTTCATATTTATTCTTATTTATCAGCTTTGCTGGCTGTGTGACAAGACAAGTCTAAATTTTATGTTTTCAGCACAGATCTTTCCAGTCAGACAGTGACTAAGCAAATTTGTTTGTTAGGGCCACACATGGCTGGCACATTTTAGAGCAGCTACAGAATAAAGATGACACATGCTAATCATGGCTTCTTTTCTGACACCTTCCACAGTGACTTCAAACACAGTTAAATATTTATTATATTTTCGTTCTGTATGATGGGGAAGTACTTTTGTGTGAAATGTTGTATCTATTATGAAAGGATGCACCTTCACTGCAACAATATCCATCCTCCCTTTCTGAACATTCTGGGAAAAACAGAAGCAAAGCTAAAAAAAACTCTGCATTAATTCAGATCCTGCAGATTCAGAAAAGAATAGCTGAAACTCTCTACTGTTACCACTTTTTTCTCTTTTAGCTTGTTCTCCTGCTTAACTATGAAACAGAATTTTTCCCTCATATATTAACTTAAATCACAACAAAAATAAACATGTTAGTGAAGTGTGTCAAAACCTTGTGCTGTCTCAGAAAAAATACTTTTGAGTTTTAACTGTTCCCTCCAAACAGCCTTTGCTACAAAAGGAGCAACACCTCAACATGGTATTTCATATCCCCAGCACAGCAGCAACCCAAGAGAAAGCAAAGCACCATCAGTTGCCTCACACAGCTCTCAGTGCTTGATGCCTAAACCCAAGGGAATTAATTTCTTTGTTATCTCTGGCACCTCTTTATTTTAGATATTGTTCTTTACCTAAGGTCATCCATTTTTTTAATAGATTTCTCCTTTCTCTGCAGATCAGCTCTCAATAGTCTTTTAAGAGTTTCCCACCAAGACCTGTTCCCCCCATTTCCTGAGGTTCTTGCAAGGCAAGTTCTTGCATTTTCAGAGCATCAAACAACTTTATCTGTGAAGGCAAAGGTGTTTTTTTACTCATCCTCTTCACTGGTTTCCCCCTGTCTGAACCACTCCAGATGTGACTTCTTCAATTTAATTAAAGAATAAAAAACAACAGCAAAAAAACACCCTTCGCTTTACCAAGTTTATCCTAACATACAGACACAAATTTGGGAAATAGAGTTGATGGCCCCCTCAGAAATTATCACCTTTTCCACTTGGCTTATAGAGCCACACACGAGAGCACAGCTCAGTTCTTCACTCCTCTCCAGGTAACAGGAACCTAAAAGGAAGGAAGCTTATAATGTCTGGATTACCATTCTGCAAGGACAGCTGCAGGAAAACTGCCAGGCAATTATTACCTTTCTTGGAAAACACCTTCCCTTCCCTCAAGCATTTGTCTCTTCTTCCACACAGAGCCAGTCTGAATTTTCTACCCTATTCTCAGAAAAACATCCTAAGGAATCCCCTCCAAAGCTGCACTAAAGCTACAAAAGAGACTTAGAAGTTAACACCTTATGTAAGCATCAATGAACACGGATTCTGAGGGGCCAGAGCAGATTCCCTAAAGAGCCAAAGAATGAACCACGAAACAACCATCCAGAACACAAAGAAATTCAACCTGAAGACTCCAGCCTGCTCCAAATCCAACTGCTAGAAAAACCCTTGGTTACAGACAAATTAATCTGTAATCTGGGAAAAAAAATATACACAAGGAAAGAGTGAGCTGCTGTTCAACTCAACGGATTGAAGTAAAATGCAAAGATCATTTAGGGTGCTGTCAACTCTTTTGCTTTTGTGACAGTCCAACCTGCCTAAGTGTATTAAGCTATTCATCAGGAAGGATGTTATTCCCAGGCTGTCCTACTTACAATGTTAAAAAATAAAAACACAATTCATTATCTCCCAGAGACACCACAGACCAAGTGAATGCATCAGCCTCTGCCATCTGTGCTCTGTCACTGACTTTTCCCCAGGTCCTTTGAGACTTGCAAAAGCAAAGCCTGTTTAAGTTAAAGAAGTCAAGAGGGATCAACTTCTCTTCACCAAAGCTTACAAAGTGTCAAGAAGCAAAGGAGTGACCCCAACCTGAAGTTATCTGAAGGGCTCGACACTCCACAGCCTCTCTGGCAGTTAATGAGTAAAACTTCAAAAGTTGTGACCACATCACAGACCAGTGACTCTTGCCAAAGGGCTCCTATGCCTCTGGATTAATGAAGCAGTAAAGTAATCACGACATCTGAGGGATTACAGGCAACATGAAGAAAAACTGAAGGAAACATGGCTAGCTGTTATCAGCATTCCAGTTAAAAATGAGTCTTCCTGTCCAACATCTATTGATGGAAAACCAAGCTTGAAACTTTCCTAATTAGTGTGATGGGCAAGAAACGAGTTTGGAGTTAACACCACAACCAGGCTCTTCCTCAAAGCTGAGAACTCATTCTCATTTTGGCACACTGCCTCTGCCTCAGGTGAACACAAGCATGGCATGAGAAGCAGTTTGTGCAGGTACAAGTAAACAGAATAAAGTTAAACACAGCAGAGAACTGGATAAGCTGGGACAGTAGAAGTACCCCTAAATTCTCCTAGGTGCCTGCAAAAGCATGATTTCCAAGCTGGCCAGATGTTGCCAAGCAAGGCCTGACTGCTGACATTTTTCTATGGCAGAATCCAGAAGAGATAAGTGGATGTTCAAGGGCACCTGGTAGTCATCAGGACTAAGTGACCCCATAAAATATGCTAAGATATTCCCAAAAAGTTATGAGCAGCACTTTTCCCTGCAGAAGATGCCTGCAGAAATACTCTAAAATGTTTGGGGCATACTTGTGGTCCATCTCAATTCTTTCTGGTTTTGTTCTGAGGGTTTGTTGTTGCTTTTTTTTGAGGGGACACAGGGGACAGACTTCATGCAAGTCTCTGCAGAAATCCTGTATTTAACATTCCTTTTTCACCAGACAAATATATCCACAGCACAAAGACTGGGAAAATCTGCTATTAGGCATCTGACACCAAACATTGCCCCATGACCAAATACAGAGAAGCACTGCCCTAAAATACATACACACACTTCAATGTACCCTTTTTTAATTGCAAGAGGAACTCTAAAATTTTAGTAGCAGCAGCAACTGAATTGCATTTAAAAGCTGCTCCATTAAAAAAAAAAAAAAAAGAAAGTCCTTTAAGAAAAAAAATAAACTTTTTTTGTCATAGAGTTCTAAGGCATTGCCCCCAAGCTGCTTTGAAGAATCAGATCTACATGAGATACAGAAACAAAAACCTATGGCAGGCAGCAGTAACTGGTCCTGCTTCCCCCACAGATACAAAACCAAGGTGTCCCTGCATTTTATATCAGAAAAGCCTTCCCTGAAATAGCACAGCCCAACCTCCTGGGGAGGCTCAGCTGATATCAGGTGACACACCCAGTTTTGCTGACAAGCTCCCTCTCTCTTGCTCCAGCCTCCACATCCCCTGGGTGTTTGGAGGCTCCAGAGCAGCTCCTGTGCAGTGTGTGAGCAGAGCGGAGCTGCAGAAAGGGCTCGGGCAGCACTGGGCCAGGCGTGACTGGGAGCTGGCAGAAGGGCTGGCTCAGCTCCTCCAGACACAACCAACAGCAACCCTTTCTATTTATACCTGCCTGCTATAAACAAGGAGGGGATTGTGCAAGGGCAGGTTTACACAGGGCACATGACAGCTGCGCTATCAAAGCACCGGTTTCGCTGTGTGACGGCCTGACGCTGCCTCACAGACACAGTTACTCCTCCAAGAAAACACGGATTTTATTTCTATGCCATCACAGCACCATTTAGGTTGGAAAAAGCCTCCAGGACCATCAAGTCCAACCTGTGATCAATCATCACCTTGTCACCCAGACCACAGCACTGAGTCCAGATGTTTCTTGAACGCCTGCAGGGATGGTGGCTCCACTGCCTCCCTGGGTAGCCAATTCCAGCACCTTTCTGAGAAGGAATTTCTCCTCATTTCCAACCTGGACCTACCCTCCAGACCCTTCCCCAGCTCCATTCCCTTCTCTGGACACGCTCCAGCACCTCACTGTTCTTCTTGCAGCGAAGGCCCAGAACTGGACACAAGATTTGAGGTGTGGCCTTGGCAGTGCCCAGCACAAGGGTCCCGCTGTCACTGCCCTGGTCACACTGGACACACCACTGCTGGCACAAGACACCTTCCACTCTTCTCCTAATTTAATCTGCAAGGCTGGCTGCACCAGCCTGACTTTGTTTTTTTTTTTGTTAGAAACCACCTTCATATCATAACAAGCTTGCAAACTACAGAAGAGTCCAATTATCTGCTTTATCCATATCCTCAAGAAAATTCAAGTCAGACTACAAATTTCCTGTACCCAGATGCTCTGACCAGTGTTTGCTGGAGGAATTACACATTAACTCGAATCCTCCTTCCTTACAAGGTTTTAAGTCTACTCTTTTAGGGGAGGGGGGATGTGAAAAAAATCATATCCTCAAAGTTTTTACTTTCCACTCCCAGCTTAACTTTTAATTTAGCAAAAGGGGGGGAAAATACTCAGTTAAACAGAAACCAAGTCGTGCTTTAACAGCACACCCAGCCTTCCTCCTCCCTGCCTCACAGACAAGGAATAATCAGAGTGCACATCAGTAGTCCGGAGATGCCAGGACCTGTACACCCTGCTTTAATTCCTCCGTGTCTCCCTTAAAGGGAAGATGCACAGAAGCCCTGTAAGTAGGTCAACCAAAAACCCTCACAGCCTGTAAGGCAGCCAAGCGACTCCATTAGGATCTGACAAGGGTGGCTGAATTTTTGCACAGCTAATTAGCCAGCTCAGCAGACGAAAACGGTGTTTGGGGCTGTCACAGCAAAATCTTCAAGAAAATCTGCACGGTAGGTGAGGGAATGAGCATTCATAACAGAGCCCTGGTGAAAAAAGACAGCTGTTTATTTGTGTTAAAAGAGTGACTTCCTAAGGAAAAACAGGCCTGACTAGTCTCCTGCTACCCTCAGCTGCATACCAAGCCTTTAACAGGTAGGCCAAGTGAACTCTCACTGCTGAACTGGTTTCTCATTACAATTTCCCTAAATACACTAATGGGAAAGCTGGTGGATACTTCAAGGTGAAGCCTTTTCACTTTCACAGCGCAAAAAACTGCAATGATTTCAGCGATTTGGAAACAGTCCCAGGAGTGGGAACTGATGGCAGCTAATTCAGCACAGAGCAGACTCAAAGGACACCGTGAAAGCACATAAACATGCAGAGTGAAAGCTGATATTTGCTTTCTTGCTTGAAAAGTCTGAGATAATCCATTAAACTGTCTGCATATCAGCATACTAAATATTATCAGTATATCTAGGGGAAGGTGTGCCTGTCCTCAGCAGAGGGTTGGAACCAGATGACCTTTAAGATCCCTTCCATCCCAGGCCATACTATGATTTTATGCCAGTAAAACTACAATAAAGTACAAGTCTCACATACAATCATGAAAAATTCCACAGGATTATTTACCATGCCAGCTGGTTACTCCTACGGCCTTTTAAATAGTCAGTCGTGCTTTTTCTTTTCCGCTGACTTTTGAAATGCTGCAGGTTAAACTTGTGAGCATATAAACTTTAATAAAAAAACCAGTCTAATTTAGAAGAAAATTCTCAAAGTAACAGCGCACATCACTGTGTAAGTCCTTACATTTTGGGGTTTCTAGCTATCCCATCCTGCAGCCTAAAGGAGTATTACCATTCAGACTATGAATAATTTCTGTACCTCTGTCAAGCTCCTGCAATGTACAAAACACAAGCACTGCATTTTCTAACCTCTGGTCCTACAGCGAAAGGGAGACGATCATCCATTCCCCCCCATCACTTCCACCTCAGCAACAACAGGTAACGAGACAGCGAGCAGCAAAAGCGCTGGAATTTTCCATATGGAGCAGAACACAACAGCAAAGCAACCTCCCGCCATCTGCAAGAGGATTAGCAGCCATCTATCTATCCCTGAAGTGGCGGAGATAAACAGCGCTGCTGGCAGGAAAAAACAGTCCCTCACAATTGTCCCCAGCAGCGCGGGGTCCGAGCTGCCCGACTCGTGTCGGATTCGGGCCCACACGGAGCCCGGTTCCATCGGGAAGTCACTTCCCGACCAGCAGCGGGAATGGCCGGATCCTCAGGGGGACTCCCCCCCTTCTCCCAGCCTTTCCCTGGCGCTATTTTTGGGCGACTCTCCCCGCCCCCAAACACAGCCTTTCCATCCCAGCCACCCCGAAGGCGCCCTCGAAACCCCCACTCTCCCCCACCCTCCCTCATCGCCGCTTCCTCTGTTTGGGATCTGGGAGCGGGCCCTGCCGGGGGAATACAAACAGCGCTAGGAGCGTCCTTCGCCCCCTCCGCGCTGCCCTCCTCCCGCGCACGCTGGGCGCTCGCTGAACTTCTCCCCGAGCCCGCCGGGGCTCAGCTGGGTGGGGAAGGGGCTCGGGAGGCGGAGGGCAGCGCTTACCGGCGGCCAGGAGCCCGAGAAGGCTGAGGAGCCCGAGGAT